AGGACTTCGTCATATTTCAACATGAACAATACTTACGTAAGGAATATATATTACTCATTTGATTACAAAGATCGTGATCGCAACTTTTCCTATCATTTTAACCTATTAAAGTTATATGTCGAACGCATGTGTTGTGAGCAGTATTTTTACATGTATTTTAATGGATAAATGTAACAATATCTGACTGAAATGATAACCTTTGTTCATCCACACCATCATCCGAGGTAGTATTACAGTTAAGATCTCAGTTACACAGGATCGAAGATATTCGAAATTGAATTGAGAAAGGGCATACAATTATTTCCCTCTTTTTTTTTCAAAATTGAGGGTACACTTTGTTAATTTTGCTAAAAATGGTTATATCTACAGAAATCCCTTTTAACTTAAAAAGAAAAATCTCATTTCTTGAAATTTGTAATTCGTAACATATATTCTTAAAATAAATATAATGTTTATTTCTATCAAACTCATTTCTAATACTCTAGACCGAATTCTTCTGTCCCTATAATGCAAATATTTCTTAATCTCCATTTGCTTTTTCGCTATTTACTATTTTTTTTTCCAATATAGAGACAGAAAGCAGTGGTTATTTTAAATAGGAGATACGCATACAATTGGTTTGTGCACGATTTTTGCTGATTTTAAATATTTTCAGCCATCTGTACCTACATACACAAATAGATACAATGATCAACGATCTTTCTACGTCTAGAAAATCCATTTTTTTTTAGCTTGCCGAGAATGAAAGAAGAATGTAACAAATGTTAAAACAAAGTGGGATTTTCTAGACTGAGAAAGGTTGTTGATCATTGTAAGGCACATGCAAATATAGCAAAAACCCATTTATCTATTAGTGTATATAGATACAGATGGCTGAAAATGTGTAAAATCAGCGAAAATCGAGCACAAACAAATTATATGCGAATCTCCTGTTTTGAATGGACACTGCTTTCTGTCTCTATATTGCAAAAAAAATAAAATAGTAAATAACAAAATCAATAAAAAGCAAAAGGAAATTAAGAAGTATATGCATTATAGGGACAGAAGAATTCGGTCTACTAATACTCCAGTACTGAATATGGATACACACTTTTCCGACCTAATTTCTCTTTGCCAACTTTTTAATGGCAATGTCTTAACTATAAAACTAAACGTTTATTGTACTAATAAATGAGCTTTTTTTTTCATTTTATTTTTTCGTTTGACAATTTTTCTACGGTTATACTGGGACTATTATGATAGTCCCAGGGTTATAATTGTAGTTTTTAAATTGATAAATTATACAAACATTTTTATCGTTTAATATTGAAACCATCATAATGACTCATGACACTGATATACTATGGCATCTATAGGATATGTTATTCATTAACACGTTGATGGTCAAACATTATTTTCAACTGTGTGCTAATTAAGTTATAGGGTGTTTTGCATAAATTATCTCTACCCAGAATGCATCACAAAAATTTGGCCATTGATTTTTGTTACTATTAATAGCAATCTCGTTCAGATCCCGTTTCGATCACAGTTGGAAGTACGGGGACAACGTGATCGCCTTACTATATAGCGGTTTGCACACTTCGTCTAGTAATGGACTTCTGGTATCATATCATGCAAGTGATGTCATAAGGAAATTGTCCGCTCAAACGTTATCAATTGACGTTAAAATATCACACAATTAATGAGTTGTACGTCTTTTCACACAACAGCTGTCTCTGTCTATTATGTCCTACAATACGTCGTCCTCCACATTTACACAGAGTATTACAACTTAATACTGCATTTACACATTTGCATCGTCCTCTGCAACCGTTTAACATTTTACATTCACATTTTATTAATATAGCGCAGGACTCATACGATTTCTGCAGCGAAGTCTAGAAGGAATCCCATATGGTCCAGTCGTTTTGTGAAACAATTATTCAGATGGTGTTAATAGCCTCAAACTTTGCAGAGTTCAAGCTAAGGGTCAAAGCAAACATTTATAGCTATGGACATATTACAAAGATTTCAGAAAATCAAAAACTGTATGCAGTTTGTTGCATTTTTAATGACCGCCAGGAAATTGATTAAAATTTTTTTTTTTTAAATATGAAAAATTAATCATTGTTAATTGTTCTACCAATTTTGATTACACCTGGTATATTCATCACAAATGACAAGGGCTATCATCTGAGGACTTCATGTTTTGAAGTACTGATAGCCATCTTGAATGGTGGCCATTTTGAAAACAAGAATTTCCAATATATCATTATTCGCTATTTTAATTTATGTGCTATTTGCATTTAAACTAATCTTTTTATGCATTTACAACTAGTTTAGCAAAATTATTGTTATATGACTGTTGCTATTTATATTGGATATTCACCGAGTGGACAAAAAGGCATGCAGGCACATGTTTACGAAATAGAGCTATCTGATTCAAAATTTCTTTGACTTACAGGTTTGTTTAAGATATTTTTTACCACAGAAATTACATATATATATATATATATATATATAATATAATTAACAACCACACTTTGTCGAAAAGGATCAAAATTGTAGATATTAAAAACACTAGAGCTGAATAACCTAATGAAGAAATGGACTGGGAGGAATGTGTGAAACGCCAAGTGAAGACACGTGAGGATTTACACTGACAAGCAGATAAAAAAACCCATACATAAACATTTGAGCTGGTAGTCAGTCCTTTGATGCTAGCAAACAAAGATGTTGCGCATTGAATTGGATTCTCTCATCCTTCAATTTGGAACAGTTGAATGAAGGCTGTGGAACTGCAGAAACACTCCAGAATCACAAGCCAAAATGGCACAAATTGAATGCAGTGTATTATTTTTCTATGGTGAGTTATCTGACGATCTCCACGATGCTTCGTACATTATGATCGATAAAAGAATCCGTGAATGTGCACTTTTACTACAAGACACTGTTCTGGAGATGTAATATCACAAGAGGCCAAGTATCATGCCTAATTGTTGATAAAACTTGACAACATGGCAAGTTGACTGAATCATAATATACAGAAAAAAAGCCAGGAATATGGTATCAATGGAATTGTGCTTGCCGAAATAATAGAATATATTTAGGGCACACAGTCTGAAACAGATATTGTGCCGATCTTCAAGCTTGCCGATCGCGCTAAATTGTAAAGTAAACGCCTTGAGCAATTTGCAGTGGTCATGGAAGGAAGAATTGATACAACGCATCGGCAAATTGGAAACTAGCTGCCATGGCAGATCTAAAAGCCCACAAGCAAGGTATTTTCGTTCTCCTGATTTTGAACGACGGTGTTGGTAAAGCTCTGAAACAGGCCATATCCAAAAAGCGTGTAAATGAAGACACCATCATAGCCAAAGTTGTTAAAACACTTGAAGAGATATGCTTCATACTAAGAATAGCTTAACAGGTACATTCGATAACAGCTGTCAACATGAACCAGTTCCAAAAGACATAAGTTTTCTAAGTAAGAATGAATTGCAGACAGCACTAACCATTTCGAAGCTGAAACAGTTCGATTGTACAATTTGTCGTCGAAAGGATACAACTACAACTTATCACTCATCAGATATAGAGCAACGTGTCTGGGTGTTTATAGAACTGATTCATATTGAAAGCCTTCATTGAGTGTCCCTGTAAAATAATTTTTTAGTAGCAAGCATTTCTTTTCGAACTAATCTAGCTGCTTTGGCTATGATGAGGCCTTCATTAACACGACTATAAGACATGGCCTGTTTCAGAACGTCTCGAATATATATGTTGAAAATCAGGAGAATGTCGCTACCTTTCTTGTGTGCTTGCATATGTTCGCTGTCAGCTACTATTCATTTTTTCAGAAGCATTGAATTAATCATTTCTTCCATGACAACTCCAAATTGCTCAAGGAGTTTTGTACAATTTAGCGATATCAGCTAGTTCATAGATTGGCACAATATATGTTCCAGACTGTGAGCCTCGTTGAAATCTATTAATTCGGCAAGCACAATTTAATAGATAACAGATTCCTGACTTTCTTTCTGTGTCTTTGGATTCTGTCTTATTGCCTTTTTGTGCAATTTTTATCAAACATTAAGAATGATACCGCGGCTCCTGTGATATTAAATCTCCAGAACTGAGTTAGCTACGAAACACTGGTTTGTAGTTCAAGTGCACAGTCATGCTCGTACTCTTTTGTCGATCATAATTGTCATCGCTTCTTCAAGATCGCAACATCTTTATAAAAGAGGGACGAAAGATACCAGAGGGACAGTCAAACTCATAGATCGAAAACAAACTGACAACGCTATGGCCAAAAATAAAAAGACAAACAGACAAATAATAGTACATATGACACAACATAGAAAACTAAAGACTAAGCAACACGAACCCCACCAAAAACTGGGGGTGATCTCAGGTGCTCCGGAAGGGTAAGCAGATCCTGCTCCACATGTGGCACCCGTCGTGTTGCTTATGTTATTACAAATCCGGTAAATAGTCTAATTCGGTAGGTCACATTCGTGAAAAGGGAATCCTCTATCAAGGAAATCATGATAGGAAATACAAGCCCGGGAATATCGTATAAGCTAGCATCAAAGGACTGATAACCAGTTCCAATGTCTATGTTTGTTCTTTTGGTATATGCTGGAAATTGAAAATCCTCACGTGTCCTCACTTGTTGTTTCACAATTCTTTTCAGTCTATTTGTTCATTAGATTTTTCAGCTCCAGTGATTTCACAATCTAACTAAAGTATGGGACTCTGCTTTTGTTATACTTGATATGAGCTCATATTGAATATAACGAAATTATAGTTCTATATTTTAATAAGAATGGTGATTTCAATATCTACAACTTTTATCCTTTTTTTGTAAAGTGTGGTCATAAATTATATTGTATATACGTAAGTTTGTGTTGTTAAAAGTTTACTTAAGCAAAATTGTAAGTAAACGAAATTATGTAAAAGATACATTTATTTTGTCAAAATGTGCTTGCCTTATTTGAACACTTTGTGAATATCCAATATAAAAAGCAAGATGTCATATAACAATGATTAGCAAAACGAATTGTAAATGCATTGAAACATAAGTATAAATGCAAATGGCAAATTATAAAACAGGCAAATAATGATATAATATTTAAAATTGTTGTTTTCAAAATGGCCACCATTCAAGATGGCCACCAACACTTAAATATCTGAATTCCTCAGATGATAATTTTTGTCATTTGTGTTTTATATACCAAAGATTATCAAAATTGGTTAAGCCATTTATTTTTTATATTTTTTTTTAAATGATTTTTTATTATTTTATGGCGGCCATTTTATAATGGCCGCCCAGAGCAGCCATTTTCATTTTCTGAATTGAGTCTATAGCTATAAATGTTTACTATGAACTTAACTAAAACTCTGCAAAGTTTGATGCTTTTACCACAATCTGAACAATTGTTTCACAAATCGACTGGACTAAAAAAGCCATCGTCCCTAAACCTATAAAGGCTTGATATTTTCTTTCTATGTTGGAAAGTCCTTAAAATAATATTTAAGACTACATAAACTCTCAGATCGGTAATTCCATGTGATAAACTATTTTCCATTGGAACTCCATTTGAAGTTTTGTAAAATTTATCATTGAACAGAAATTCATTATTTTCGTATTTTTGTAAATTTTGTTTTTATATCAAAATCGCATAATTAGGCGTCATTTTTTACCTGTTATTTTTCAATAATATTCATATTTTAATAAGTCGATGTCAAATCCTATCCCAGCACACCAACTCAACAGATCACAAGGTGTTTATCACATCTATTTAGACGATTGACATTAAGAATTAGTTTATTCTAATTGGTCGTAATAGATGTTCGAAACACTTTGTGATCTATTGAGTTGGGGTGCAGTGATAGGATTTGACAACGATTTATTGAAATATCGGAAATGTAAAGTACACAACGTAAGCCCATATTAAAAGTTCTCGGGAAACGGTTTCATCGTAATGGTAGTATGGTGCACATGTACGATCAGAGGGATGAACAGACTAGCTATCAGCTGCGGTAATGGACGAAAGAACACGCCATTTTCTATAAGTTTTCTAAAGCAAAAAATATAAAATATGCCAGATAATAATTTTCGCGCAGATATTCAAACTTTTTTCACTGTTTCTCTTTGTATCAGATTTTGATTCTGTCATTAACGATAATTAACGATAATGATGGAGGAATGTTTCACATATTTGACGATAATTTACGATAATGATGAAGAAATGTTTCACAGAATTAACGATTATTAACGATTACGGAGGAAGAATGTTTCACTTAGTTAACGATAATTACCGATTATAGAGGATGAATGTTTCACACAGTTAACGATAATTAACGATTATGATAGACGGATATTTCACAGAATTAACAAGGACTCATAACAAAAGAACGTCAGTAACATGGCTTCGATCTAAAATTCTTTATTATTTCGAATTCAATGTAAAAGAGGGACGAAAGATACCAGAGGGACAATGTAACATGTGTAAGATAATTTACAATATACATATCAGTGCACGTGTCATTCAATTATTGTTATGTATAAATGAAAAGAAAACAGTAGTTGCATTTTACACATAAGAGTCATGAAATTATTGTAAAATTCATTTAGATACATATAGTGTTAAGATCAGATACAATAAGTGGATAAAGTTCATAGAACTCTTTGAATGCACATCGGAAACAGAAGTCCGAATCTTACAACGATCCTTCACCATGTATACAGATGAATCAGTCCCATAATTCATGAGACCATTTCATTTTTTTCCACACAAAAGTTACCATTTTGAACCTTTGATAAAATGCCAAATACAAACATGCATCCTACTTCAAAATTTGAACCGATTGTATCAAATGTACGATCTGCGTTCTTTTTTGCGTCAAAGAAATACACAAAAAATTAATAGTAAAAGTATGTTGGGTTTTAAATTAATACATAGGAGGAACTTCGACTAAACTCCATGTAAAAATTGGTAAAAAAAACATAAAGATAATAGAACCCATTTCGCAAGGTTAATTCATGGAATACGTATTTGTTTTAAATATTTTTCTGTACAAAGTTAAGCTTATAATATCAGGGCTACTTCTTCAAGAAAATCCGGGTAAATACTAGTATACATGATATATATGTTCATTTCGTTAACAATTTTGGTAGTCGTAATTCTCTGGATTGTACGTGTTTATATGGACACAATCTATAAACCACTTGTCACACATACACACGTTATATTTACAGGTACCATCACTATCTGAAAGAAAGAAAACAATACAAATTGATGACATACATTTAGTACTGAAATTACTATCTATGCAACCTAACTTCTGTTTCATATACATTGTATATATAATTATGACCCCTTAATACGCTTGATTCCAATCGTTATCTTTCCGTCAAAGTGTTTGCTTTTAGGTGACGTTATTTGTGCGTTTGTTGGGCATAAAATCTACGTCTGACTCAGTACGTTGGGCTAAAGGAAAAGTATTCTAATGGAGATATCTTCTCATGACTGCTTCGATAACTGTTTTTTAAATGATAACATCGATTGTTTTCTTAAGGCAGGGTCGGAAAATGTACATAAGAATAAAGACGTGTATGAAAAATGTCAAGCAGTTACTTTATCAGTTCAAAGATGCAGGGTTCCAGTTAGCCCATAAACCGTTTAAATGAAGTGAGAAATCAGCGTATAGTAAAAGAATATATCTAGTAATGGAAATGATATGGATCAAACGTATTATGCATTATTTTTCCTATAGTTTTTGGCAGTTTATTCTGACAAATTTTACTTTGTCCACAACCCTTGACCATTTTTGTGTTTAGGGATTCAATATAAACATTTGCACCTTTTGGTTACAGCATATTTTAAATAGTGGGTTATGGTCAAGGTTTTCATAAAGTTTAACAGTCCAAAAATGAACAAAACCATTGTATTGTGACAACTTCCCAAAAAAATGCTGACTTTGGTTTCTATAATTCATTTTATCATGTTTATTAAGAGATTAGTTTTAAATAATTGAATTTTTAAAAAATTGAATTTGAAATTCAAAGCAATGTTTTGCCAAATGTGAACTTTATTATTTGTACCCACAGCCAATTTGTATGCAGCAATTGTCTCCATAAAAAGTATAAACTGAATACTTAAGAATTGCCATACTAAGTTTTTTTCTCTCTCGATATATTGGGTTTTAATTACGTTAAATCAAACATGTTAAAAGTAATGTTATGATAAAGATTGGTAAGACAATTTGGTAAAAATATAACCTTTTACATAACCTTTATACATCTTTTGAAAGAAAAGCCATGTCTATTAGAGTCGTTTGTATTTTTATTTTAACAAATCAAGGAAATACAAAGGGTGAAATTGGCATTTTAAGTTACAGTTGAAGATAAATAGATAAATGTTTTAACATAATTATTTTAATGAACTAGTATATAATATTGTTTAGCAGCCAGCTGTAGCCCTCCTCCGGGTGCGGGATTTTCTCTCTGCGTTGAAGATCCATTGGTGGCTTTGCGCTGTTTTTTGCTCTTTGGTTTGGATGTTGTCTCTTTGATACATTCACCGTTTCCATTCTCCATTGTAAAGAAATCTATCGCATACCATATGATAGGCGACTTTTTATTTCCTTATGTACAAATATCACGGATCTTTTTTTTATGATTTTTTACACTGTCACTGAATTGGACCATTTTGTGAAGCCTGTGAGTACTTACCTTCGCAATCAACTGTCTTCCCATTAATAATCTTGTATTGATATCCCACCAAATAAGGCCTGCACCAGAAGCTTTCTACGTTGCCCCAGCAGTCGTCGTGGGCTTTACAGCACCTGTAATTCATAAAATATGCTCATTACTAGAATTAGACCATACATCATAAGTATCTCTTCATCAGTTCTATATTGCAAATGGTCAATTCTATTTTATTTTTTATGAAGAACGTTTAGAAATAGTACGCTGTTGATAAAAGAAATTCGTGATGTACAACCAGGATTCGCCCATGGATATTTGACGTGCATAAAAATGTTTTATCTGAAATTAATACTTTAATGTAAATACAAAACCAAAGTTAACAAAGTGCTCCAAACTAAATTGACATGCATGGTTCAAGGTGTGCGAGAACCGTCATATTCTATATATAAAAGTCTTAATACAAAAGTCTTAAACAGAGGTTAAAAGTTGTATTATCCTTACTTTCTATCCTTTTTCTATATTGTTCCCATTTCCGTCTATTTCTAAGTTTTTTTTCGGAATTATCATGACTCTTTTTTCATGTTTAGAGGATTGATAGTGAGTGCTATTTGAACCTTGAACAAAAAGAATAGTTGGTTTCCTGAAAACACGAGCTAAAGCATTGAAAACATGGTTATCATATTTGAAAAATATATTTAGACAAATCTGTAAACTTACCCATCTAAACCATCCAATGGTGTACCTCCACCACCAATTCCACAATAACAACCATAGTCAGCAAGTTCAGTAGCCCGACTGAATCCAAAAATTGTGCTCATCTGGAATGCAAAATTCCATAATGCCTTCTTACTCATGTTACTATGTAAAATTTGTGCATCTGAAGCTGAAAATTAAAATAATAGTTAAGATTGTTTCCGCTAAGTTCGGATGTTTTTTTTTCTAGAAAAAAATGACGATTTAATTATTTTTGTAAATTGATAGTTTTAAATATAAGCTCACCGACCAATTTCAATATACACAAAAGTAGAAGGCACGGTATGATTTCGGGCCACATTGGCCGTGCAATTAATTGAATAACATTTCTCAAATTTGCAGATTTGAGTGTTCAATCTATGAATTTAAAATATTCTACATTCACTGTTTATACAGCCATGAATAGACGGTACGACACGTAACAAAACGACTTTGCCAAACATTGTGACCATTTCACCCACAGAAGGTGAGAAAATCTAATAGCAAAAAATTCGTCCGAGAAGATATTAACACAGGAAGAAATGTTCTTGTTAATAATATTTATTTACTTTCTGACACAAAATCAGCTTGGGCGACGCTTGTGTTCTTTACTAAGTAAGTCGAAACGGTCACAAAATAGACCTAGTCTTAACTAAAACTGTGCAAATCTCAACAATCATTTTCATAAAGACCTACATTTAGCAGATTAAACATGTAAAGAATGATGGTATCATTCGAAGGTTTATCGGTCAATCTACTAGACCATAAAGTCTCAAATTATACCTTGTCCTTAATAAGTATATCTAAAACGGTATTTGTATAGAAACAATGAAGACTGAAATACAGCAATTATTGATTTATTAATGTTTGTATTTATAAATGTCGAACAACATTGACACATTGGTGTTTATACTATATAATAAATATATTTAATATTCTGCGTAAATCAACGCCCTAAACAGCTACCATGCTGGTTAAAATGAGTCAAGGCATATCAAGATAGTCCGTGTTGTCTCAATACATTAGTTAAACTTCTTTTAAGTGGTGTTTTATTATATTCAGTCATTCAGAACATTTCCAATGCAAAAGTCAAACATATTCTAATTCAAAATTACCAGCTGGATCCTTCAGCTTGTTCAAATTAACTGAATTTGACCTTTCAATGAAATGTTTAACTTCATTGAAAATGTTTTTGGAATAACCTGAAATATAAATGAGACGTTTATTCCAGAAGCAAGTACAGCTTATAGAATGTATACAATGTTTGAGAAATTAATTATACGTGCACCATAAAACATATTTATAAACAGAGACTTACATTTTGTAAACAAAAATTTAAAAGATTTTTTTCTTTAAGATTAAATCACTCAAACATGTAGCAGAATAATAAGTATAACGCAGAGTTTGACATTCATAAGAATGTTTAAAATCAGCCGCGATATTTGAATCACATAGTCACATAGTCTCTCTGCTAATTCTATGTATTTACCAAGATTGTTTAGTTCTTTAATATTTTGTACAGATAACAATTGTATCAATTTATAAGTGGAGGGGTGTCTGCAATATAATTTGATATATTTTTCAACATATTTATTACATTCTAATAAAAATCGAATTCCTCTGCACTGTTAATATTATAATATCGCCTTGTCTCTATCTTTGAATTATGTGCACAAATACGGTATTTACAAATATATGGTTTATAAAATATTCACTTTTTGTTTATCTAAGTTAACTTAAGTATATGTACAAAAAAAAGTATTTATATAATTGACATTTATCTAAACCAATGATCACGTTCACGACGGAACATGTTTAAATGAATGCACCTTTCGAATAGTATGTGTTAATGCTTACAAATAATCCATACAAAATATGATGACGTAACGTTCACACGTCTGTCGTTTGAACCCACTTGTATCGTTATTCGATATCATTCGTCTTACATTCGTTTAAACATGCCATTATTGCAACATACTATCGATTTATATCATTATATCAACATAGACTATCGTTACTTTCACATACTACATGTTTGTTGCTCTCGAAACGTAGCATGTCGTCCTTCTGACATGGCAGTAACGTTGTTTTTTTTGTGTAAACATATCTTATTAGAGACTTTATTATGTATAGCTCCAAGAGTAAATACCTAAATACGAAATATTGTTTGACTATTGTATCTATTATATAGATATTTATAAAGTTATCTATGTAATAACATAAATAGTTGGATAGTTTGAAATACAAAAAAAAAACTGAAATAATCAATGTTATTCAAACAGTGTTGTAATATTTGTTTTCTGTAAATTCTTTTGTTAGCAATTAGACCGTTAGTTTTCTCAATTGAATTGATTCATATTTTTCATGTCGGGGCCTTTTATAGCCGACCAAACGGTATGGGTTTGTCTCATTCTTGAATGCCGTACGGTTGCCTATAATTGCTTACATCCACTTCATTTGAACTTTTGTGGATTGTTGTCTCATTGGAAATCATACCACATCATAAACATAGTCGGTCGTTATATGGAAATAAAGGCTGCTCTTCTGTAAATATAGACAAGGCAATTTCCCATAGTAATGAATCATGTTATATATCAAATGGTTTTAATTATAAATAGTGTTAACCGTCAAATGTTGGTGATGGGCTTTAATCTTAAGCGTTATCGTTGAAAGCTATAAAGATCACACTGTATGTCATAAAGTGTGTATGTATACTGGTTCAAAAATGTCTAAACAATTTAATATGAACAACAGGGTATTTTAAGTGTAGCCAGATCTATTTGGAATACCATCAACATAGTTGTCATATTCTAACCAATACATGCTATATATTTAAAATAACAAAGCTTACCTGCGGGGCTGGAGTGCACTAGGACAAACAGAACACATGCAGCAATATACTGAAATAGTATGCAAGGTAGTTATGCATCAATAAGCATGATCTCGATCTATCATTATTTAAATGGGGCCTCGGTGGCCAAGTGGTCTAAGTAGTTCTACTACTGTAATCACTAGCCAGTCAACACTGAGGTTGTAAGTTCGAACCCCGCTCGTGTGGGTGCACTCGACTCCAATCTTAATTGACTAGGATTGTCAGTTGTCCTATCGAAGGTCGGTGGTTTTCTCCGGGCACTCCGGCTTCCTCCACCAATAAAAACTGGCCGCCACGAAAAAGTGCTTAAAATTGGCGTTAAAACACCAACAATCAATCAATTATTATTTAAAGATGTAATGTAAGTTAACCACTATTGAGAGAGGATACATCGACTAAGTAAATGATAAGAAGTCTTGTATTTGAAACATAATTGTATAATTAGAAAACAATCCTCAGTTTTCAATTTAAATAAAACAAATGTTCTTCTACTTTTGTTCACGTTATTATTGTTCAGCAATAAAGATTGAAAATAACAATGGGACATTTAAAACCCATAGAAAATTGACAACGTCATCGCAAACAACGAAACAACGAAAAGATAAACAACGTCCTACAACACACTACGCAGAACACTAAAGACTGCGCAAAACGAACCCTACAAAATCCAGAGATGAACTCAAGCGGTCCCGAATGATAAGTACCTAACATCCGGTGATAAGTCTCATTCGGTGATGTTATAATCAATTGACAGAGGGCAAGATTGTAGTTACTATAATTGAAACATATCCGTGACAATAATACACAAAATGACAAAAGGTAATGAATGTATTCCTTATCAGTAAAAGTATTCAGAATTACAATCCAATTCGATATAATTTTTCTTACTTGGTTTTTTTTTTTTTTTAATTTTTTTTTTTTTTACTTTTTGTTTTGTTTTTGTTCTTTTAGTATCTTTCTCATTTGAAATACTTACGTGTAATGTCAACATCTTTCTAAATAAAAAAGAAAGAATAGAAAAAACAGTCAGCAGATTTTGAAAAGTGATCATATAAAACATTATCGTAAAAATGATTAATGATACAAAACAGGGACCATCAAGGTATTTTGAATTTTTTTTTTCAAATTATAAGAATACTATTTCGTCAAATGTTCTGTCACTTACACTGGCATGGGTAGATATATATCACACTGTTTATGTACAAGAGTGTAATCTTCCCATTATCAAGGAAAAATGCTTATTTAAACTGAATTTATTGAACTCAAATGCTTATTAAAAAAAGAAAATACCTAACTAAAATTTAAAGTATCATATATTGATTTGTGGTCTTTGGGTTTCAAATAACATTATGTTGGTTGGTGAACATGTAACCGACTTTGAAATTCTCTAAGATATCACAAAATCACAAAAACTAAAATCACTAAAAGATTTTTCAAACAATTTATTAAAAGAAATTATCAACCAAACCCACATTGTATCAAAATGAAGTTAAGAGTTCATTTCATTCTTTTATTCCCATTGGTGCAAATGTGACAAAACATGATTTTGCACTATAACATCAACATTGTCTTTAAGCGCAATGTATTATTTTGCATGTTTTTTTTTTGTTTTTATGTGAACTTCTCAGACCACCACATTCACATTTAAGTACAGCTTTTTATAAGAACCAAGCAGAGTGCGATAGATGAGGGTTTCAGATTGTTTCTATAAATTGCCCGGTAAAAGCAGTAATGAATACTGCTTTTATCGGCAAAAGTGATCAAAGGGATAATTAAACTAATTAGTCGAAAATAAACTGACAAAAGACCAAAGGCAAACAACAGTATACAGACCACAAAAAAGAAACTACAGACTGAGCAACACGAACACCGACAAAAACTGAGGTTATGTAATGTGCTCTGTAAGGGTAAGCAGGCAGATCCTCGCCGCATTTCGCGCTCAATTGAGTACAAACCTTGTGATAATCTAATTCGGTAGGTAATTATGGGAAAAGATGGACAGGATTGTTGTTACGACTATTAGAACATACCCGGTGCCATCTGTAAAACAGATATTCAAGAACGGTCATCAAATTGGGATTGTGTCCGTAAAAAGTTTGAGGGGATGATTGCAACTTCATTACTTCGAACTCGTGGTTTAATAGCGTGCATACACTCCCATATATGTATGGCCTTTTGTCTGCGTTCAACAACTGATCAAGCAAGAAATCTTTTGGATTATATATGAGAAGTGAATATTTGGTATGATGTTCATAATCGTAAAAAAATAATATTCCGGGATATATTGCTTTCCATGTCTAGTATTGAATGTAGAAAAAAAAAGATCAATTTACATGATAAAGTCATTGGATATAAAAAGTAATTTACCAGTTTTGCAGCAAAGTCCCACAGTTCGATCTGAAAAGAATTTATGCAAAAACCTTTGGATTCAAGCGTATTGCTATAAATTGGTAACGTTATATTTTATCTGATGCACTTGTAATGTTTGGGAAAGTATACTATTTCTGCACACGAGTTAAATAAAGAATCAAGATTAAAGGCAAATTGACAAAGTAATCATCGGTAAATTGATTATAATGCTTCTCTGATGTTTAAATGAGAATTGTTTTTATAATCAAATTTCTGCTACTGATTTGCTATATAAAAACCAAAATAAAATTTGTTGATACATGTTAGCATTTTACTTTAACATAAATGTATACATTTATTGTTTAAAATTTTTTTCCTATTTATAAATTTATTGTAGAATTTTCTTTTCATTGGAAGCAAATTTGACAAGACATTCCAAGTGTCTGAACGTAAAAGAAAATCATCATGACATATATACATAGCACACGTTTAACTGTATTTGCATTTGAATAGAAAATAACAGATTTAAAAATTCTAAAATGTGATTTTTGATAAATTTGATTTCTAAATTTGTTTGCAAGATTGTAGCTGCAACAAATGGAAAATTAGATAAAATATTATAAAAAGAATGTTTAAAAATAACTGAAATTTCGTAAAATGTTATTTCACTAAAAAATTTGAATGATTTAAAACTTTTAAATATTCAACAGTAATATTAAAATATTATAAAATTATCTTTACCTGTAAATATGGATGCAGCAATTGAACAACAAGTTGTGTTGCAATTTGTTTTCTGGTGTATCTTATATATCTTATTCTGATTATCATGTGATAGATTTAATCGAAGTGCAACGAAACGTTAAGTAATGATTTTAATATGTGCCTTTTGACGGAGTGTGCTTTTTTGGGTCTTTTATGATCTATTCAAATTACAAGTTTTTGCATTAGAAATCCATGCTTTTGATTTATTGCAATTACAATGTTATATGAGATGCTGTCACTTATGAGCAATTTGGTTTTTAGTATCTCAAACATCTTTAACACATGCCTCTAATCTATGGTTTTTAATCCCTTTGCATTTAATATATATATCCTGTTAAGGTACACTGCGATATGAATGGTAGATTTTCTTTTAATCTTTGAGTGAGTTGAATTATTTCATATATACATTTGCGGAGTTTTACGACCAATATTGACCCTTCGTGAACATACTCTAACCTAACCCTGAAACTATATCCTTACCATCATACAGTCCTAACACTTGTCAAACTTTGAACACCTCACCCTAAATTTTAAACAGAACACATTTTTAAATGAAACCTAAACTGACCAATAATCTTCAATCTTAACCCGAAACTACATGCCCTAAATACGAAAGACCAAAGGGGAGATATGAAAAAGAAACAAAGGTGTTAAGCTGCAAATACTTTCAGATTTGTATAGTACAGTTAAATAGATCGCACGTTCCTAAACATATTGCTGAAAGGAGACAGGACGTTTTTTTCTCCCTTTTCTACCGACCCAGCCTATTTAAGATAAAGAACAAATCGGATCCAATCCGGCCTTTTCGATCGGATTACTATTTCTATTGTGTAAGAATTCATATCCCAGAAAAACATGTCACTGGGTGTTCAGTAATTTCACCCAGGTTTTTTTAGTGCATTGAACATGTTTAATATATTTGTCACTTGACATTGTTGTATGGTTATTGAAATAAATCTTGTTATGGAGCCAATTTTGTATGCAAATTTGAACACATTAACAGATATATGATTAAGATTTTAAACGAGAATTACTTGTGCCTAAATTGTCTCTCATATCAGAACTACAAATCCGTTCTTTTTCTATATTTGTTGATGATTTTTACTTTGAATGCTTGCACTTCAATATTGTAAAGCTTAAGCTTTTAATACTAGACAATTTGGGAGTATGTCTTATATTTTCTTTGTAATGATATACCTGAAATGTACATTATAAACGTGACTGTATCTTGTAAACAAAGTCAGTGACGTATACTTTTTAAAAAAACTTCCACATTGTATTTATAACACATCATTTTAATGAAAAATGTCAAATAAAATATATTAAAGGGTCTTTATTGTCCATTGACTTGAAATATATCTTTTTTAAAGATAGTGCTGGTGTGCTATGACAGGTGCTACGGTACAATATCACAATCACGCAACATATTTACCAAGAAGAAACAAACAAAAAAACACCACTCTTGCAAACTGATTTTTTTATATATGGTTCGCATTCTCTGCAAGGATGCTATTTATTATACATGCATAGGAAAAACTCATTCCAGTGAACAGAAATAATAAAAACAGATAGCAATAACACAAAATTATCAAGTACAATTATAATGCTATCATTTTACTCTAGGTAGAATAACAAACGAATACATCATGCTATTGAGTACAAATGTTAACCTGCTAACCAGTCATTTTGACTAGCAAAAGATACCCCCCGACATGTTTTATGACTCCTCCGACTGGTCCCAGAACCACAATCAAGTTAACCTGAAAAGCAGACATGGTCCTAGGACTGTTTATGACTGCCTCAAAGTTCACGTTAGACAGGTCCGTTACTGATGTTTACTTTCAAACTAGTCCTGCAATAAGTTTACTTTGATTTTAACAACTCCGATTGAACTAGACCTGATTTTAAATAAATTGTTTGCTGGTCTGCTAAACAGGCAGTCATAAAAACAGTCTTTGGACCAAGTCTGCTTTTAAAGTTAACTTGATTGTGGTTATGTTTTATTTTCTATGAAAGTATAATAAATAGCATTCTTGCAGAGAATGTGAACCATATTTAGAAAAGATCAGTTAGCAAGGACAGGTTTTCTTGGTTTTTTCCCACTGGTCAATGTGTTGCGTGATTGTAGATGTTGTACCGTAGTAACTGTCATAGCACACGAGTACTAACTTTAAAAAAAGAAATGGTCCAGGTCAATGGACAAAAAAGACCCGTCCAGATAATTTCTTTTCCAATTTTGCATTTAAATGACTTAGTATCAATACAATGTGGAAATTTAAAAAAAAAGTATAGGTCATTGACTTTGTTTAGGAGATATAGTCAAGTATAAAATGTACATTTCAGATATATAATTACAAAAAGTATATAAGACATACTCCAAAGTTGTCTAGTATCATGAATATTAGGAACTAAAGCTTTACAATATTAAAGTGCAGGGATTCAAAATTTAAATCATAAACACATATAGAAAAAAAACCAGCTATGTTGTTCTGATTTGTAAGACAATTTATGTACAAGTATTTCTCGTTTAAAATCTAAATCATATATCTTTTAATATTTTCAAATTCGCATACTCAATTGGTTTAATAACTAGATTTATTTTCAATAATTGTACAACAAATTATCGTAACATGTTACGTGATTTATCAACACGATTAAAGTCTATGTGTTTGATAAACAAGAAATAACATCATAATAGATATGCAGATGGCCATTTATTGAAGTCTTTAAAAAGCGTTACAATTTGCATTTGATACGTTTTGGTTTGTTTCCAAATATCATTAAATCTCAGCAAGAGAAGCTCTAGAATAAATGAATATTATGTTACTTCAAATGTGCATTATTTGACAGAAAATGTTGATCATATATTCGTTAGCATTACTAGCATATAGATGATCAGATCTTGTAGATACACGAAATGAATATATCATGTTGATAATATAACATGTATAGACTATATGTAAAACAATATTAGCCTTAAAATTATTCGGAGCGATTAAGGCTCGAACGTTTTATTTTTAATTATGGAATAAATGTTGTAGTAAGATTTCAATGTAACGATCCAAGTTAAAATTGTTAAGTCCGCTAATAAGAAGTTTTAACTGCACTTAATAGATATATTTGGTATTGCTGATCATTTGTGCTATTTCAACGTCTAACCCAGATCCTTCTTTTTGAACTTCTAGAAAGCATAAAGTTTTATGTTGTGTCATTACATGAACACGCGATTTTTAGAAAATTAAAACAAATGAAAAACAAAATGACTATAGCTTTTGTATCGATCACTTGGAATCCAACATATCATGCAGTTGGCAATAATCTACTAATAGGGACCGTTAAAGCAATTTATTAACAATATAGGAGTTTCTGTTGAATTTTGTAGGTAACACTTTTAATCTAGCTCGTATAGTTTGTTATATAACAGCAAAAAAAAAAAAACAAAAAAAATTCATAAATTAGAAACAAAAAAGATAATTAAGGGGAAATAACTCAACAACTAACTTACATATGTTTCTAAAATATTTAGGGTGCATGTTTTTATATCCGTGCTAACATTTTTGGAATTGTACACATTAAACACAGCTGTTTTAAAGATAACATGTTCAAACTGAAAATAAAAAAAATGTTTTAAAACAAACTTTACAGGAGCTATAACTCCATAACGTGTGATGGGCTTCTTCTGGTTTTCTTTCCGGGTAGATAAAACTTGCCATGCCAATTATTGGTGCAAAACATTTGAAAAACATGTTGAACCTGGCTGATATAGTTTACGAAATGAAAATCAAAAGCTTCCGAAATAGTTTTAAATCAACATTTAATGAACAACCATCTCCAAATGGGTCAACTAAATCTGCTTCAATTTTCAGGGAAGATAACACTTGTTGTAATGGCAATTTTTATACAGTTACCTTATACTTTTAGAGATATAACCCCTAAAACTTAAGTTCAATCCCTATGTTATTTTTATAACCGCAGTGGCCATTATAATTGATCAATCTTGATAAAAAACACAATTCTATGAAAGACATCCTAAAGACGGAGCATATAAACGTTTGTGACAATTCACAGACATGTTTCAGATGACAAGATTTTGAATGAAAAGTAAACGGAAGGACGGCTGGCAGCACAGTGATAGCGAAGGGCCATAGAGTCTTGGCATATTGTAAAGGCTATCCAAATTATTAATTCTGTGAAGTTTCAAAATATTTTGATTAAAATTTATTTTTGTTTGAAACACAACTATGTGAAAATCAGCAGCTGGTATATCAGCGTTTTTTTTTACCTAAATGGGTGCTTTCAGAACAAAAACACGATGGGAAATTTAAAAAAAATGTACGCAGGACGGACACCTACATGTATTTATGCTTGTAGCTCAAGTGGCTAAATGAGCTAAAATGGTATGTACGGTATTTGAAAATGGTTGAACTAATAACTTAAACGCTGTTTTTTTTTAAATAAAACATACAATATATTTAATTGTACAAACGATTTCAAAATCGTACAAACAGTTCTTACAAGCCTAAAATATTTACCTATGTCATGCATGAAAATTGCTGCTTTGAGTAAATGGTACATAAGTTTTGATAATCAAACGCTAAACGATGAAAATAACTGTCAGTTACAAAATTAAAAATGCAGATTTTTTTATGGCGCTCTTATACACAGAAAATCTTTTACTTTCAGATAATGCCCACAGTGCAGCAGATGTTTACAGTAGTTATTTGTATTTCAAAATGTTAAATGCATGTAAATGATTCTATCTTTCTACCGTCAGATTTTCATTGAAGTTTACAAATATTGTTTCCTCCCCGAGGAGAAAGAAGAAAATTCTTGTTCGATGTATACATGTTGCCTGCTTTAAAGCCAAAAAAAAGGCGTGTATTTTCATAGGAGTTGTAATACAAATGAATCATTCTGAGACCAATTGTGAAGGTAATCTTCCTTTCCAAACAACATAAAATTTATTTCATATGCAAATAAACCTGGTCATTACCGTGTGGTTGCACCGTTTAAATTTTTTTGAGAAGATCATAAATGACCAGAAAAAAAGGACACTTCGTACAAGTACATGT